CAATAGAACTTTGCCAAATTACACATGTTGTATTATCTCTCAGTCTGTTTCTATTTTATTATTTCAGTGTCTCCCAAAATTAAAGGATGCACTGGTCAATGAACACGCTTCCCTTGACTCCGTATATGGAGCTGGGTGTACAATCACTGAGTGGCCTTCTGTGGACTCTACTGCTTTTGTTTCTTTGGCACTGTTATCGGATGGGCTCCGATCTGCCAATCCCAGGCCATGCTCATGCTGGAAAGCTCAAGTCAAGCTCAAGGAGGTCCATGATGTCCCGTAGCGGTAGCTGTATTGGAACAAAGTGCAGTGCACGATCCAAGCTGTCCAGGAGCGATCAAATTAGTCCCTTTATTTCCATGGAAACAGTGGAAGACGATGAGCAGGGACAGGGCTACCTCACCCCAGTGCTGAGTCATGCCTTGTTCCCTGCCCAGGCATCTGCAGAAGCCAAGAAGTTGTACACAGCCCTGCAGCAGTATGCCAAACGCTACAGTTGGGTGGGCATGGGCCGCATTCATAAGGGCCTCCGCGAGCAGGTATGCTTCCAAGTGGACTGCAAGAGTTGTTCCACAATGGTTTAAGATTTACAGCTGCATTCTTGAAGCCAAAAAAATCAAAAGAAAACTCTCCCAGAAATAATCACAGCTTTTTCATTTGTCTCACTTTAGGTCAGACTGAATGATCACTCTGCTATACAGAAGCCTCATCTCTTCTTTCTGCCAGATGTTCCAAGTGTGCCTTTCTTCCCACGTGACGCTCATCGACATGACATTGAAGTCTTGGAAGCCAACTACCCTGCAATCTTGGCTGAATTCCAGGCTGTTTACCAGAAGGGCATTGACTCAAAATTAGGCTGGACCTGTGTAGGACCAAAGGTATGCAATAAAATCCTTCAGGCCAACTGGGAGAAAGTGATATAATGCACCATCCAAAAATAATTATCTGTCATTCAAAATACCATGGAATGAACTTGGTAAGTCCTGGAAATCTACTACACTTCCTGAGATATATTTTAGTATGATGGCATTTTTCTGATTATTCATTATTTTTTCACTGTTTTTTTCTTTTTTTTGGCTCATAATGTACAGTTGTGGTCTCTAGTTTACTCTCATCAAAGACATGAATGCCATGTTAATTTGGGACATTTAATGATTTATCTGAACTGTCCTTTTTCCAGGGTGCCATGTTTGTACAGCACACATGTTTAATGACTAAAAAAAACAAGAACTGGGTGCACAAGTTTGAATTTATTTTGGATCTTCTCTAAGCCACAGCATAAAAAGTATGCTGACAGCCTCAGAGTAAAAGTGAAATTTGTTTAAATCAAGTTGCACATCAGTGCTTTTGATTGCCATTAACAAGCTTCTGACAAAATTCTGGCCAGATATTTGTCTATTCGTCTTGGTAGAATTGGTAGAGTAAATTTAAACAGTTTTTTCTGGCTTGGACCCAGTTTTGTGACTAAATTTCAGTCGAGTTCAAAGGTGTTGATTTTGGAGCAGGGAATTCTTTCTAGCTTGGCACCCTCTCAGTTCATGGCAATGTAAAACTGGCTTCATCTCATCTGAGGGTGGCAGTTTGTGCCTACTTGGCAAAGTGGTGACACATCTGCATAACTATTGTTCTGAGTATTGGTCAGTCAAGCTGTAGCTGGTTATTATCACCAATGAGAAGTCAATAGACCTGGACCTTGTCATGTTAAAGGGGATTACAGAAGCTTCAGCAACACGTATTAAAATATTAAAGTGAGTACTTGTATATATTTGAGCCCGTATGCATACTTTTGTGTGGATTAGATAAAATCCAAAATAAATTGAAATGTGTGGACCCAGTTCTTGTTTTCTAAAGCAATTAAAGATGTGTGCTGTAAAATCATCCCACCCTGGAAAAAGAACAGTTCCAAGAAATCATTAAAATCCCCAAATTACTGACTTCATGCCAACGACGAGTGGATGTAAGCTTGTGATTGGAACTGTTAGAAAAAAAAAGATCTGTATCAAATGTTAAACATGGACTTTTATCTTTTTCAGGGCCAAGCTGTGTTTCCTTTGTACAGCGCTGGTGTCTCTGTGGCAGGAAACTGCCGTGCCTGTCCCTGCACCTACCGGACACTTCTGTCTTTACGTACTTTTATAAACAGCAACTCATTGGGATCAGCAGGATTTTGGCTGCTGGGCCCTGGAGCAACTTTGGGAAGCACATATGGACCCACTAATACACGCCTGCGTTGTCATCTTGGTATGTAATGGACTTATAGTTATTGTGGATAATGGAATCTGTTTATTCTGTTGTAACTATCCACACTACACTAATACATGGATTTATCCTCCTCAACCTAATGACCTGTTTTTATGATATTTACATCAAAGTACACACACACACACACACACACACACACACACACACACACACACACACACACACACACACACACACACACACACACACACACACACATACTGGTTTATCACCTGTAGGACTTGACTTCAGGGTATGTATGTGTGTGTATTGCAGGAACTACCTCAAGTTATGTAAATTATTAGTTCATTATACATAATGCACTGTGCGAGCAAAAACAAAGCAGTATTATTGGATTTAAGATTAAAAAGGTGGAACTGTTTGGGTGCACATAATAAATTGTTGTCAGACTTCGCTGCACTATAGAGAAATAGAAGAAAAAACAGATTAAATACTAAACCATTGCATAATGTAATACTTCTCTGGTCAGGGTTGAGGTTCAGTTCCCTCTCGTCATTTTTGTAATGTGATCCATCTGGCTATAATCCTTGCTGCTTTAAATAAAAACAGGGTTGGAAGCCATGCCCTTTTAAGTAAAGGGGAAAGCATAATGCTGTGTTTTTAAAACCAAAGCTGAAAGACAGACGTCGCTGTTGTAGGTCTGCAGACTCCACCCCTGTGCGAGCTGGTGGTGGGAGGGGAGCCTCAGTGCTGGTCAGAAGGACACTGCCTCCTGGTTGATGACTCCTTCCTTCACACTGTCTCCCACAAGGGTCAGTGAGTCACAAATGGCTTTGACAAATGAATTAATTTGTGATCTATTAGCTTATTGCATTTATTAATTAACATATGACCAAATGTTAAGATGTAAAATGTGGTGGGTAATTAAAAAAAAAGATTCCTGATCAATTTTTATGAATTGTTTTAGATAAGTATAAACAGCTATTACATTTTTTAAATGCTAAAACTATATCTCCGTCTCCTTTGAAAGGCCCTCCAGATTCTAGACCCAGCGTCATTTTAAGTGTGGACCTTTGGCATCCAAATGTGGCTGCAGCAGAGAGACAAGCCCTGGACTTCATGTTCAGCCCTGAACTCTAAAATGTTTTTGTTTATCTGTGTACTTGTATACAACATGAAGAGATGCCTTACATTAGACCTGGTAGTCCTGGGACATGCATCTCATTCCAGTAAATTAACCGCTGTGTGAATCTGCCCCAAGAATTACACAAGCCATTGGCCATGCTTTCAAGTGCTGTTGGATTTAGGGTCTACACCGAGATTTACCACATGAATGCATTACATTGTTGTTATAGGCTGGATGCTAGGCCACAAACTAAGCATCACTTGAAAGCACAAAGAGCAGATCCAGTGTTAGCAACTTGGCATCATAACTTTATGCATGTGAAAACTACTGGAGTTTATTTTCAACTGTTGATGCATGTGCAGATATGCTATGGGAATGATTCAACCAGAAAAACTGTGAAAAAAAAAAAGATAAATATTACAATTGTAATATAAAATGATTTTTATTTTCCAAAATTATTGCCAAAAATATTTTGACTAATATATACTGTGGTTCTTTCTTTCCCTACATACAGTCCTCTGTGTATGCTTGTATATTTCTATCTAGAAGTGCTTTCCTATAGTTTTGTTTATAACTGATTGCCCTGCAGTGGTTTACATATTATACAACATATAGTACTGTGCAAAAGTCTTGATCCATCTGTCAGTTCTTTATATTTTACTAGGAAAATGGGACGAAGGTGCAGTGATTTATTGAAACATATAAGAACACACATGATAATTCAGTACATAAGGAATTGTAAAAAATAGAAAATACAAAACAGAATTGTAAAATTATAATAAGCTTAAAATTCAATACTTAATATAAACATGTTTATTCTTTGTAATAATAATAATAATAATAATAATAATGATGATGATGTGTGGCTCAAAAACTTTTGCACAGTCCTATATGAGGCTTTTGTCAATGCTGTTTGGAAATCAAAAACCAAATAAATGATCAAACCATTATTGTCTTGCTATATATAATCAGTCGGTACCAAGGGGCCTAAATATCATCTGGATGGACGGATGTACAGATGGCAGTATGCGTCTATGCTTTTATGCTGTTTACAAAATTCTGACCCACTATCTTAATGTCACACTGGAAACTGAGACTCATCAGGGAACATTTTTCCTGCGCAATGTAGTCTCAGTTTCCTTTTTTCAGCTGACAGGAGTAAGACTTACTGTGGTCTTCTGCAGCTGTAGTTGCTTTACAATTACATGTTATACATTCAGAGATGCTCTTTTGCATACACTGTAAACCTGAATGTTCAAAGTAATTAAACAGATTAAGTAGTGTATACTCAAAGTCTTAAAAAAGTTCTGTTAACTTAAATATGTCAAGTTCGTATAACATGTTCTTCTTTTTGAGTAAATGAAACTAATAATATTTGATTGAATTTAACTATTTCTATATTAAGTAAGCATCACTTAAAATAATAACTTAAGCACAACGTAACACAGTTAAGTTAGGACATATAAGAATGGTAAAGTCCTGTTATTTTTGTTGTTTCAAGTAGGTAGGATTTAATAATAAACTTAATTTATGTAGCACATGCTAAAATACAGTAAAATCTCAGTGTTTCACCAAATAAGTGAAATCAAATTGTCTTAAATGCATTAGTGGAAGACAAAATGTATTTATTTTAATATTCATTGTTTTATCACTGTGTCCTACATATATATTTTTAATTTTTTCCGTAAGTGTTGAGCAGCTGCAGGAATAAATTTTTATTCCGAGTTAATCTCTGATTCACCCTCCGAAGCGGAAGGCGGCGCTAATGAGCATTAATACGAAACACAGAAGAAGTAAAGGTATATGGGCGGGAACAGCACCAAAGAGGCAACAGGGACGACTGGAGAAAGTTGGACCTAACGGCAGCAACTAGCATCACTGGACTTACAGTAAGTTTTCAATGTTGATATTAGTTTATTGTTAAAATACGAATATTTAGTTGTATTTTGGGTGCGTGTCGAAAAGAATAGCAGAAATGTCGGTCCGTGTTTTTTATGTGCTTTGCTGCTCTCCCCGAAGGAAACTTTGCGCTTGCAGAGCTAGCATTAAGTTGTTGTAATGAGGGTCGCAGGCTGTTTAAAAAGTTAGATACTACTTGCTCTAGAGGTGGCGCCTGGTCGCCTAGTATAAAACAAAGTATTTTAATCTCTCTAAATTTTTAAACCCCCTCTCATGACTCAGAATAGTTGGGTCCAAACAAGCCCGTTGTCCCTGCAGTTACACAATGGAGATGCCTGTCTGCAGTGAGAGTGCTTTCAAGCAGTTTTCTTGTTAGAAACGCTATATTTTAAACTATATGTGCAGGGTTAGGGTTGTGAAGGAGCTCTTGGACCTCTGGCCTGCTCTAAAAATGGAGTCTGAGGTAATATGGATCAGCTCTGTTTAAAATGAAAATTGTAATTCTTACTCATGTGGCAGCTTTTTGCTGCTTTATAAAGATGTGCGAGATTCTTCAAATTGAACTGTATTGTCCTTCTGCTGTAGTTGTATGCAGAGTTTCAGCGGATTACAAATCAGAACCTGCCCAATACATTCTACGCTGAACTTGACCGCCATCTTCCTCGACTGATGACCTTATTCAGCCAGGGCATCAAAAACTGGGAAGACAGCAGATGCCCTGGTTGAAATTCTAAGAATTCACAATGAACAGGTAATAATAGATTGTTACACATTTCATAGGTTGAACCAGTGGAACATTGGACAGGTTCAATGATTTAAATGAGCTTTTTGAATTTTGCTATTACTCCACTTTGTGTTTGCTATTTGTCTGACTGTATTAAAGATGTGAACAGGTTATTTGTGGACATATGTTCTGATTTGACTGTTGTTTTTGTTGTTGTTCAGTAAACTCACCAGTATATAAAATTCTGTTTTTATCTGGAAATAGGAAATCCATGATATCCACACCAAGTGCACTACCGTTCTCCCTGCCCTTCCTGTCTATCTGCATGAGGATGTCTCTGGATTTTTCAGAACCTGCACTGTGAGTGTCCTTAAGTATCTAACAGATACTACTGTGTATATAAACAGTGCATCAAAGTACAAACATGTATTTTGATGCACTGTTTGGACTTATCTTTGTTTAGTCTACTCCTGTGTATTTCCTTTAGCTTAGTTTCAGTCTATCTCACACCACTTGATTCTCTGGTGAATTAGCTGATTTATGTGTGCAGAACATGGATCTTCTGTTTTTCACCTCTTACAGTGAGACTCAGGTCTCCCTTGTAAAAGAGGTATTGGATCTCAGTGGGAGTTGGTAAAATGAGAAATTATATGTCGTCTGTTGTATTTCTTGGGTTAGATTGTGATTAGTATCTCTTTTTCATTAATTCAGGACGAATCTGATGAGTTGGAGCTTGATGGTGTTGAAGTGGCCCTCTTCACTGTCATCAGTGACCATGACACAACAAGTCCAGTTCACTACCAACCTGTGAAAATCTCTGTCGTCATTGTAAGTGATGCCGTGTTCAGTCTCCCCAGATTTGGTGAAGCCTTCCTGGTAATGTTTGGACTGATCTATGCACTTCACCTCAGCTACCCCAAAGGCCTGACCAACACTTTAGAATTTACTCAAAAGATTTTATTTGGTCTAGAAAGTGGTAAACTGTCACCCAGGTTACAGACCCTCAAGAATGACTTGGTTATGTAGGAACTCATCTGAAAGAAGGATGCAGGGTGAAGCATTATAAAAGGCTAGTTCAAAGTTCTCTCCTTTCATCTAAATAATGCCTCAAAACATTATTAGATTACTCTACAGGTGTTCAGCCAATAGGTCCAAACTATACAACGTGCCTTTGTTCTCATTAACATAATGCAAAGCAACACTAATGTTTTGTATGTTTTAATGTTTTTCGTAATACTATTTCCAAAACATTGTGGGCTGCGCAAGATGACCTAAATTTCACTGTTTGATACTGGTTAATGTAAAACAAATAGCATTGTAATTCACTCAAATTGCTGCCTTGTTGTCTTATTCAGATATTAGCCAGAGAGCCAACAGCACATTTTGATATTATTAATTATTATTTTTCATTACTCTGACAGTTTTCCTGACTAAACAATTTTTGGTCTACTTATTTTAATTTATAAATGTTTTTGTTAATTATTTTTAATTTATGTAATTTTTTTTTAAAAATGTATTTAATTTCAACATAGTGCTAAAAGGGAGCAGGCAAGATACTGTTCAATGGCAGATGTTTATGACTTTTGCATATTAAGTTACCGATACTCAGTGTAATTGAGGCAATCAATTGCCTCAAAAATTTTAAGTTTTGGGTCACATGTTTTTAAGTATCAAGTAGTCAACATATTTGACTAACGTGTACTTAAAATAATGACAACACAAACTAATAAACATTTGAGTTTTGTTAACATAAAAATGTTGTAGTTGTGTACTTATTTTTTATAAGTTCTGTGAACTTATTTCTTTGAATTTGTAAACTTGAAACTTTAAGTCATATTAACTGCAAATATTTGAGTTGACCGTTCTCAAAAGATACAAGTACCATGTAATCCAAACTTTTATGTTCTGGAAAAATTTGGCTTTTGAGTTGATCAACTCAAAAAAATTGAGGCAATCGATTGCCTCAATTTTTTTGAGTTCTGGTAACTTATTCGGGTTTACAGTGTACCTTGGCTATAAGAAGTGGTTATTTAAGTCACCGTTGTCTTCCTTTAAGGAGTCTGACCATTCTCTTGTGACCTCTGCCATTTTCAGCTGGAGAACTGCCGCTCACTGGATATTTTCTCTTTTTTGGTCCATAGTCTGCAAACCTTAGACATGTTTAGGTGGGAAAATCACAGTGGATCAGCAGTTTATGAAATACTCAGACCACTGCATTCGACACTAACAACCAGGCCACGGTGTAAGTTCTTCATGACAGTTTCTACATGCCTAAATGCAATAAGTTGCTGCATTGAATATTTGAATATTCTTATTTGTATATATTTCAAAACTTAATTATTTAGGTGAAAATAATTATTTAGGGACATGGGCAAGTTTATAGTCTAAAAAAAGGTATGCAGTCTAAAACATATCACACAAACACTTTAATGAATGTGTCTTTTAATTCAATCATCATACTGAAACACATTTCCAATCATTTAGGTCATTTAGCCCTTTTTTGCTTCCTTTTTTTAGTCGGTAGATAAGAATTAGTGTGCCGATTTTGTCTTATCTGCCATCTGTTCCTGTGAGGGTCCCATGATGGGGATTACACTGACTGAACTAATCCATCCCAAAGAGGCAGATTATTCCCGAGACTGTTTAAATGCAGTTGTATGGGAATGATTCATTCAGCAGGGGACATTTACTGGGAAGAAATAATGAAGCTTTCACAGTCATTAGCAGATAGTATAACAATTTAAAAGCAAGTAAAAGAAGATTTTTTTTCAAAATGAAGAGATATGAAGTAAAAAAAAAAGTAATTAAACTTTATTAGTAAATATTTAAAAATAAAGTTAAACCTATATTGTAGAGATATTTGTATGCCACTAATGGCATATTGCAATATTATTAGTCATCCAGTCAGAAAGAATAATTAAGTAGTTTTTTTTCTGAAAATGTAACAAAGTTCTATAACACACATTATTTGTCATTACCAGCCTTGATATTAGTCTTTAGAAACTCAACCATTACATGTAAGTCTGAAAGATGAAAATAGCCTTTGTCACATGCAAGAACTCACATGCTGTTCTTTTGTTATGCAACAGAATTAGCAACTAGAGGGATTTTCAAAAGTGAAAGATGTCTAATATGGAAAGTGGTTGAAAAATAAATCTCTGCTTACTATCACTGGGAGTCTGCTGTTTGGAAATTACATCAGTCATTGGTATTCAACTGTTCAATTGTTGAGAAAAATTTCCAGTAATAAATAAAATTCCATGGAAACAGCCATCCTTCAGAGGTTTATTACAGATTTTGCAATCTTGACTTTGAAGAGAAAAGATGCTGAATGATTTTTACCCAAGTCATCGCTGCAGAGAGAAAAATGGGATACAACAACTTCAACCTTTACACAACCTGCAGTCTGGAATAAAATATTTTTGAGAATACTGTCTATTTGCCATAACAGGCTGATCATAGTCCTGATCATAGAGGAAATAACTTCAAGCTGTGACTGTCAGTAAAGAACATATCACCCATCCCAGAGTAACATCTGTGCCCTGTTCTTCTTTTTCCCAATACAGCTGAGCCTGACTGAGCTCATGAGAGCAGACAGCAGACAGTGGAGACACAACCAAAGAGCAAAACATTACAACAACATGTATAAATAATACTCATCATTCAATAAATATCACATTTTTTTTTACACATATACAAAACATTGTATTAATTATGTTAATTTGGTCATGGAAAATGATGATTATTAATTTTTGTAACTATTTTGTTTCAGATATTAATTTAAAGGTGCCAAAGCAAAAAAACCAAACAAACAACAAAAAACAAAAACAACAAAATATATATATATATATTTTTTACAATGGTGCATCTCTACCACAATCATCACATATGTTTTAATTATCTCACATGTCACAGAGCAATAAAGAAACCTAATCTCTGATGTTTTATCCAAATAAGGCAAGAACACAGCACCACTTAGACTACACCTCCTGTCTGGTGATTAGCAGTAAAACTGGGGAAATGCATGTATCTGTTCAGGGAATACAATAATTAGCATGTCAGTAAACTCCACTGCTAAGTTAAACTGCAAATCAATGACCTTTTGTAGTTTGACATGAATTGCAATCCTTTTTCTGAGCCAAAAACAAGAATTTCAGCTAAACATGCAGAACTAATATAGGTGAAAATGTCCAGGAAGGAATTCATGCAATGTAAATCACTTCCAGCATGAAATATCGGTATGCACCGCAGCCCACCAAGTCTGTCCAGATCATAAATTAACTTAATATACTGTAGAGTTGCTATTTTTAATATTTTATATTTATTTATAAATTTTAAAAATCAAACAATGACACAGATACAACCTGTCATTTTTTTAACTTGGACACGTTCAGGGCATTAAGAAAGAAGGGGACAAGTGACAAATACACAAAATCAGGTCTGGCTTTCTAGAGCTAACAAATTTTGACAATAGCAAATCCATAAATTAATAAGTAAGATTTAAAAAAATAATGAGTGCCACATATTCTAGCAGTGATGCAGGAGCCCATTACCAGAAATTACAAAATAACAATAACAGAAAACATAATAAAAATACATCCGCTCCTTTCTTCATTCCTTTGTTCTCATTTCTGTGACATCATTTTCACAAACTCTGTAAAGAAAATAAACATAGTTTCTATAAGCTATGTTCTTCTTGCTCCATAAAGCTACAAATATTTATTCATTCTTATGTAAATGTTGCAGCCTTGCAGCAGCATTATTGATGACATAGATTTGCCAGCAAGATTGAAATATCGGTAAATACGTGTGTAATAAGTTTTTCTACCGAGGACTGTCACAGTATTAGGAAGACAAATTTTGAATATGTTTTTGTCACAACAACAAAAGCTTAAGTTAAACTAATTTCCTTTTCCTTGAGGTGAGTGTTGTTATAAATTGGCACTATATCAGTTAAAACTAAGCTGAATGCACAACTTCTTCTTTCTTTAAGTTTCCTGTTTCACAGTTATAGTAATAGTAATATTATTATGTGAGGCAACACAAAATAATATAAAAAGTTGCTGTAAAATGAAATTATTTTTTTGTGGTCTGTTTGTTTAACTTACCCTCAAAGTCAACTGTTCCATCACCATTGTTGTCAGCCTCCTTGACCACTGCATCGATTTCATTTTTGCTGGTTTGTTTGCCCAACAACTTCAACATAGCATGTTTCATCTCATCAGAAGTGATAGCACCATCGCCATCTAAATCAAACTGCAGAAAAGAGGAAGAAGCCATCCAAATATTGCAAACCTTTTAGAGTTCTGCTGCATGAGTTTCATGCTCTAACAAAGTTTTTTAAAGTAAGTTAATGCACTGTCCACCATGGGGTGCCAAAGACCACAAAGTGAGTCAAAGGTGTGCTTACCTCTTTGAAAGCATCTTTGAGTTCCTTCAAACCAATCATCCCTGCAGTTTCATCCAGAAGCTTGGGGGTCATTAGGTCGACAAAATCCTCAAAGTCCACCCGCCCCCCAACTGCAATAAGATTTCGATAACATAGTTTAAGCAGGGCATTTGTCTTCCTGTGATGATGGACTAGAATGAAATACTTTACAATAGTGTTTCTATGGGTTTCATAAATGTCCATATGTACACACACTGACATAGAATGAGCCAAATGATCATAAAATGCATTATGATGACTAATGTTATTATACCCATATGAAACAGGAAATGTCAGCTTTAATGAACCATTTTCAAGTCAAGTTTCCAGAAACTTTAAGAAGAAATGATGCCATGTTTCTATTTGTGTTTGTAGAAAAATAATAAAAGAAAAAGCGAAAAAAAAAAACCATAATCAACAAATATGGGACTTTATTACATATTTAAAAAAGTCAAATGTGTGTCACAGAAAAAAAGGTGTTTTTTAATGTCACTGTTATATTTGTCTGTATTATTCTTCATAAAATGTGATAGTTAGACTTCGTTTTCTTCAGTTAATAAACTGTAGGTTTTAGTTTTACTTTGTTGTCACATTACTCACGGTTCATGTTGATGTTTTGGCTCAGTTCTATCAGCTCCATTTCAGTTGGCATATAACCCATGGTCCTCATCAAGTTCCCCAAGTCTTTACAGCTTATTAAACCATCTTTGTCCTTATCAAACTCTACAAAAGCTTCACGTAACTCTGTGGAGCATACAATTTGAGGAAAAGTGAGAAATGTAAAGAATTATACAACCCTTTATAAAGTAAATATGAAAGCGTAACATATAATTACCTTCTATCTCATCATGTGTAAGTGCTCTTGACTGCAAAACAGTTTAAATGAAAATGATATTAGTAATGCTTCAGTAGTGCCACAAATTTGACCTATTTGGTAGAC